AATCTCTTCTGATTTAAATATGATGTCTTCTGTATGAAGCACTGTTCTCCTTTTCAGCCTTTGACAATAATAAAAGAAATGTAATTGGTTCAATTTAATGATTGTTGATCAATTTATGCCTCCCTACTATCAGTCTTACTTATTCTTTTCTGATCACTTTTCAAGCAACTATGCTTGAAGGTGCAAACTGTTGTTGTTCTGTTGAGCTTTTTTCAGGTATATTTGATTCAGGTCACCTTCAGGAAATTCTGAACCAAACCCTTTATTTAATCTGCAGTAGATGATTGTTCTTGTTCCATTGTCTAGGGATATTGTGTCTTGTTCTTTTTAGATTTTATTTATTTTGTATGGCTTAACTTTCAATGCATTGATATTTAAAGCCAGATAATATTTTTATAATGATTCTCATGAATTCAAGTGAAATTGGAACTCAGCTCTCAGAATAACAATTTTGAGCCATTATCCATTACACCATTAGCATATACAAGTGGTCTCACATCTAGGTACTGACCAAGTTTGATGTTGCTTAACTTCAGTGGTTCAATGCAATATGGCCCTAAGCTTTGTTGGAATTTTTGGGTACACTGATGTACTAGTGAGCCAACCAATATGAGCTGACTCATTTTATAGTTCACCAATAGAAGGGTTAACCAATCAGAAAGCTCAAAGTATTCAATCCGACGTGTGTAAAGGCAGCCATTTTGTTTTTTCTCCCAAAATATCTTCACTGCCAACCTCTGATATTGAACACATTACGGACTTCACTGGATTCTATATTCAGAGACTCCGGCAAACAAGCCTTACCTGAAGAAGGTTAGAGATCACAACTGCCAACACACCTTTATTCATTTGGCCATTGACTGGAATATCACTTGCTACTTAATTTGTCAGATGTTCAGTATAGAAGTTTTAATGAATATTTTGTTCATTTTCATTATACAGCAGTGATCAGCATGTTAATCTCACAGCTGATTACAATTGTAGGAAGCTTAATTGAATATGGATCATCAGACTAGTAAGAATATTAGGTAGTTACTTTGACGAATATTAATTAATTTCTATCCTGTCTTTGAATGATTCTATTCTTTACATCTGTGAATGTAATTATCCAAAGCTGAGTCTTTTGGGATAGTCAAAAAGAAAATCTGGAGATTATCTTTCTTACTAAAACCTTTTGTGATTATCTAGGAGTTGGTTAATGCCTTTGTTTCAAGATACAAATTGAGGTAAAGAAAATTGTTCATATTTAGAAAGTTTACAGACCAAAACAAAGATAAGAACAATTTTCTTTTATATTGAATAAAGTGGCCAGTATTGTCTAATGCTGTTATACTTCAATTGTAATAATGTTTTTTTTTGTTTTGTTTTTTTTTTTTAGGTGGACATGCCAGTGTTTTTCTACATTGACCCCGACTTTGCTGAAGATCCCAAACTTGAACATGTGGATACAATCACTCTCTCCTACACATTCTTTGAGGCTAAAGAAGGGCTAAAACTTCCATTACCTGGCTATGCAACAACTTAAGCTCATTGCTGGACTGATTTTCATAACTATACCTCACCTCAATACAGAGAAAGTATGTTGAATTGTCTGATGTATTCTTAAATCAAAACATTACAACTACAACATGTGATGAACCTTATCTAGCAAATCTGTGCTAATTGCAATCAACTGGAACTGAATAAATTGGTACTCATTCTCACACAATTTAAAGATTAATAAAAATAAGTACTAACATTTGAGTGACTAATTTTTTTTCTTACCTGAATTTCTTTTTCAATAAACTCTGTCATGAATCCTTCATCCCTGTTGATTAGGACGACGTGGCAGCATTCTTTCAATGTGGATCTTGCCTGTACAAAGAAAAAAAAAATAAAACCAAAATGTAAATTAAAATGACTTATTTACGGCTTGTGCAGGCAATGGGAGGGAGATTTTATTCATTTTTCAGTGACATTCAAAGTTGCTTTTACAATAAAGTTTAACAAAGTTAAATTTTACCTGTGGTTCTATTGGGTTGAGTCATAAATAATTTCCAGTTGGTTTGCCTTTTTCAAAAAAAATAAAAACTACAGTTTCATTTTATTCTATTTATTAGGTAGCTCTTTGATACCTTTTGAGTAAAATTCAAATTTTGATGTGAAATATTTTCAACACACTCTTCAATCTGATTTTCATTAGAAAAAGGTTTTCACATAAGTGAATATAAGAAACTTGACTGGAATTGGAACTGATTTCCAGTCCAGAGGCGATATCCATCACACCACCCGGTATTGGGAGAGGTGTGAATCCACTTCTCCCCCCAGCTATGGGCTAAGTCATTATCTCAAAAAAGAAAAATCTTACAATCTAAAATTACTTTTTGGTTTTAAATAACCTGCAAAAGTTTGATAATCCATAAAAAATAAACCAATAAAAAAAAAAAAAGAAAAAAAAGCGAACCGTCATATATTGGGTTGGTGCATAATTATCAGGCGTTTTTGTAGGCAAGTTATTTGTTAATAAAACTTGTTCTGTTTACTTTTTTAATTATTTTATTTTCAGGTTATAAAAATGGGTGTCAATAATCATTTAAAAATGTTAGTGTTGAATTACATTTCTTTTTTTTCATAATAAATAATGTTTAAAAAAATGCCTGATAATTATGTGCCAACCCAATATATTAGTGGACACAATTTATTAACTGCGAAGCAATATTAGTAGCTCAGATGATACTTTTGTCATTAAAATTAGTCCCCAAAAACAAAAATGACTCAATATTTTTTTTTTTTTTTTTTTTAATTTCAAGTTTCTTCTTGGTATCTGTTATTCTTTAATTGTCTGTACATTTTTTTTCTGGGACTTTGCAAGGTTCTCAACAGGTGTGTGAGGCAGAGGTTATATATATATATATATATAAAAAAGAAAAAACAGTAAGATTTATGATCTGGTGTTCTTATAGATATTTTTATTTTTACAAAATAGTGCTCAATGTAAATTTACAGAGCATTAATATTATAAATTAATTGATTTAAAATATGTTTTTTTTTCTGCTACACAGTTCTAACCATTTTTGAAACATGGTTAGAACTGTGTAGCGGAAAAAAACATTTTAAATCAATTAATTTATAATATATATATATATATATCTTTTTTTTTTTAGATCAAGGGATGGTTAACATTCTATTAATAAGAAGGAAGTTCCACGAACAGCATCCCAAAGCCACTACTTTGTGGTACTGACACCCGAGAGGATGCTTTCCTGACCACTACAATCTTAAAGTCCATTGTCTTTCCCACAGATCCTTATAAACTGACTTCTTACCTCTTACCACTTATACAACTTCCAAAAGTAACCCTCTATTATGAGTGGCTTTTGGGTATTGTATGATCAGTAACAAAAAAAAAATCAAAAAAACATGGACCCTTTGACTTAAATAGATAAGGTGATTATGATAAAGGGGTAGCTGGAAAATTTCTACTTCATTTTTCATGACTTTCTTTAAGAAAACCATTAAAATTGTCATTAAATCTATGCCATAAAAATCAAATAGCTTAAACAAAGAAAAAAATAAATAATCACTCCCAATTTCAAACATCCCTATTTAAAACACGGGCAAAATATTTCTAATCAATTTCATGGAACATCACAATTTGATTTTTTTCAAATAAATTTTGCACATTGCCAGACATAAAATTGATTCCTAAAACCCTTGAAATATGAGAAATTTGCAGTCTACAAATCTACAAGCAGTACACGTTTTACATCCTATAACACGGTTGCCATCAATTACTTTGCTGACTGCTGAACTTTATCAGTTTTGATTGGGGTGGGGAGGTGGCAGTGGATGCTTCCAGCTCATGGAATTGACCTTGGCTCCAATTTTCAGCCCCTCAAGTTTCACACTGACGATACCATTATTGCAGTGGTGTAAAATTGATTCCAATCACTTATAGACATGTTCTTTCAGAAATGGTTTTCAAAACACTTATTTATTTTAATGCTGTTGTTCAAATAATTCATTGCTCAAGAGCCACTCAAGGAACAGGGTTACTTTATGGAGGAGGTAAGAATTGTAGATTATGGGGATATGTAGGATAGATAATTGACCTTAGATTTAAAGAAGCTAAAATTATCGTAGTCAGAGAAGCATCTGTTCCACAGAGCAGTGGCTTATGGGAAGAAGCAATCCAAATGGAACTCTTTTTGTACCAACAGAATATGAATGGTGTGAGGATTGATCAATTTTGTATACATGGCATGGTTGGTCTCCTGTACCAAGAGGACAATGAATACCTTATGGTGTCTATATCGAAAAGTTATATAACAACACTAACATGTTTTTATTTATTATTCAGCTGAGTTACTTTGAACATTCGTTAGTCTAATCATCAAGGTTGGAAAGTCATTAGGGTGGCATTTTGTACCATAATATATATGGTCAATGTAGGTGGTTGCTGGGTAACCAACCTACCCTGCTCCAAAGCTAGGTGTCTAAACTTCTAGAGTTCTTGTTTTGCTCACCAGCAATGTCCTGCAAAGTGCATTCTACATTTACATAATATTGTAGAAATAGCAGTGATGGGTCTATAGAATTATGATATACATGGATGTTATCTCTAAGATATGTTAAGTATAACTCTCAGCATCTGAATGTCGGTTCCATCAAGCTTAGACTCGGTTTCTATTTATGGTACCATACATTAACATTGCCTCTGCAGTGGCTCAAAAGAATCTCTGCTTCAGATATGTACATTTTTTTTTTTATTGTAGATTAAACCGATTCATTCATTTTCTACAGCTTATCAACCCTTTGCAGGTTATTTAAAGCCAGAATTTTTTTGGGTGATAATTTACTGATACAAGACTCACTACTTAATCTAGACTGAAGAAGAAGAGATGAATTAATAACTTTCTCAAGTGTATTTGTACCTAAGTGAATATAACAAACCCAACTGGAATTGGAACTCTGCTCTCCAATGAAAAATTCTGCACCATTGCACTACCTGCACATCCACGCTTACGGTACCAGGTATTCCCAAGTGGTCACCCCTCTAAGTACTGATCAGGCTCAACATTGTTTAACCACAGTGATTGTACATGATCTAGTGTTTCATTGTGATGTGGCTGTAAGCAATTGTAGATTACTAAATGTTTGTATATTATGAGTCCTGTCCCTAAATAGCCTCGACACATCTACATTTTCATATGGATATCATGCATGGCTGCCAATTTATTCAAACATGGATAAACTATCATCTATCTTTTTTCACATCAATGGTTACAAATGGCTTCAAACAATCTGCATATAAAATTCTGTGACTTCCATTCATCCATCACGACCTCTAAAATAGAAGTGCAAACATGGAAGGGCCTACAAAGTACAGTTGGTTTCACTAAGGTGCATAGCTTAGTACAGTAAATTTTCAGTAATTTCTTTGGAAAAATTAAGTTTTTATTATTTAACATACAAAATACTCCCACTATTTTAAAAACAATTTAATGATTAAAATAGCAAATACTTATGTAATAAAAATGCAATAATTTTTTTGCATGTCTTTTTTATATACAAGAATTCAGTTTTCCCTGTGTTTGCAAGAACTATAAACAAAAGTCAAACACTTCAAAAAGTTGGAATTTGACTCCAGAAACATATTTACACATGGCCAGTTGTATGTTGCATGCTCAAAAGTAAGAAATCCTAATTAAAATTAAAAAGGAAAAAACAGAAATTTTCTTAAACATTCTTTACCATGAATTCTTATGAAATTAAACTGCAAAGTAGGGTTAATTGTCAAAGTATTTTTTTAGACAAATCCGCTTATTCAAATGTCATCAATTTGTTTGCACAACTAAATGAAACAAAGTTTGTTAATCTTGACAAAAAATTTAGAATGGTAACTTCAACAATACTAAATATTGTAAAGATTTCAACATATGTCAGCATTTTGCCAAAAAATTCATATCCTATAAATTTTCAAAAAGACAATCCTTCATCAGACCCTATAGACTGGTGTTACAAAATTACAAAAACTTTTCCCAAATAATAAAACTCACCTCACTTGAACACGTTCAACAGCAACACAAATCAGTAGTATGCAAGATTTGTTTGAAAACAGGAAAAATTCATTGGAAACAAAGAAAAGAGTACTGAACTGTTATGTAATATCAATCCTCTTATATGGCAGTGAATACTGGACAATCTCCTCACAGATTAAGGAAAAAACTTGAGGAAACAGAAATGTGATTCTACAGAAGGATGCTGAGAATACCATGACCCGAACCTGGGAACAATAACAAAATTTTATAGAAAATGAAAACAGAAAGGATACATATTTAACATCAAAAAGAGACTTAAATTTTCTAGGGAAAAGAAGGCTTGGAAAATTTGATACTCACAGGAAAATTTGAAGGCAAGAGGCACAGAGGATAACAACGCATTACTTACCTAACAGGCTTGTGTAAAAGGATGGCAGAAGAGAGTTGGGAGATATAATAAAAAAGTTTACTTAAAGCTACAAAAGACAGGAAATTTTGAAGAGCCATGATTTTGAATGCGCATGGCACATAGAAGTATTAATGTAGACATGTGGTCGATATCGAGTCAACAAATGTTTCGAGTGAGATGAAAAAAATTATTGAGATTTTAGTTTCACTTTCGAAATCTCTGTGGTGACAAACTTGAAATAATGAGCAAAGAACATTAATTGCATTTTAATTGGCCATGGTATCCGAAGTTAGTTCTTCAGTAAATTTTATACCTTTGACCTTAAATACACATCTCATTTTTTCTTTTAATTAATTTACTCCAAATAAGGCAACGATGACACTAAGATGCAAGTGGGGGTGAAAGAGAAGCAGATGTAACCGGAAACCCAATCCTAAACAGGAAACAATGGATAAACATCTACTCCTGTTCAAAAACCGGGCAATAGAATGATAGTTTTAGAACTCGCCAACTCTAACATCATAATAATTATTAATGTTTTGTGGAATAAAAGAATCATTCATTGTTTTTATGGCTTATCAACCCTACATGGGTTAGAGTCAAAACATATTTGGTGTTTCAAGAAGTTACTTACAGTACCTGGTGTTCCCAACTAGTCCTACAAATACTAACCATGTTCAACGTTGCTTAACTTTGGTGATCGAATAAGAATTTCGAGCATGATTTGGCAGAGGGGTAGTAAAACAATGAATGAAAACATTGTTAGACAAAGCATCAACAAAATCCACCTGTCACGCATATTGAAGGGTTTGTAAGTTTAGAATAGAAATAAAAGTATTCAAATAAAATAGACAAAACAGTTCAAGATAAATCTTGCTTCTAAAATGACGAATTTTTTTATTTTATATATATATATATATATATTTATTTTACTTCTTTCTGATATCCTTATTCTCTGCTTGTAGTTTTGCTCGTAACCTACCATTTTAAAGCCCTTAAATAAAATACAAATATAGTAAAGTAATTGTTTAAAAAAAAATTCGCAATAACATAATTTTCCCTCAACCTATATGAGGCAAAAATAATTTTCAAAATAGGGGTGAGATTGCAACTGATGATCCCCCTCTAATGTCTGTCTTAAACAACCCTTGTTGAAAGAACATGTAAAGAAAAAAAAAAACTTTACTGTCACAACTCCTCAGTGTACTTCAACACTCAACAATGCAAGAACAACACAACTGTCACTAAGACGAATTCTCTTTACTCTCGTCTTTTGGGATTTTTATTGTCCAAGTCCGCCACCAGCCAACCCGCGCATTACATTAAACTACTACTGATTGGCCAAAGAACCATCCAAGAAAGGCACTTTAACCGTTTTCTCTTTCCATGGAGCGCCACCAGTAACCTCGACTGTTTAAAAAAAAAAAAAAATGCATGCAACCCTAAAAGCCTCTTTGCTCTCTCTGGTAGTTCACTATAGAACAATACTTCGTTAATTTGTATATGAAAAAAAAATGTCATTGTTAATGTAACCCATTCGCTATTACAATTTGATAGATCAACTATTATCAAACACTGAAGTTCCCAATTGGTGACCAGTTTATCCTTTAATAAATGGACATAAAACTACAATATAATTTCAAAATCATAAGACTAGCAACCAAGATGGACACTGGCACACTTTTATAATAGGGGGCAAATTTGATCTGCCATCACTGAACTGAATTTTTATCTTAAGGCAAGAATTTTCAAAGTCCTTTGTAATTTTGAGAAAGCTGAGAATTCTTGCCTTGGGACTTTGTAGAGAATACCGATTCAACTGCTGACCGAGATTTATGGAGAGTTAATCTTCACATTTACTAGTGAACATCATCAAAAGTAAGCTAGAGGCTTGAAGTGACTAAGTCATCGCTCATATAGTGGCAAGTAGCAATTACCTTACATACAAGCGAAAGTCAGAATGGATTTAATCCTTCAATGGGTTAAATAATATACAAGAAATTACTTATAGTTCCACGGTCAGTGCATTAATCCTACACACAAATTGTGAACTTCTCTACTGAGTGCAATCAGATTTAGTGAGAGTGTTGGTGCCGGAGTCGTTAGTCTTTGTTTTATTTGTAGGCATATAATTATTTAATCAGAAAAATCACAATTACTGTGAGAATATCATATTTCTTTAAATTGGACGATAGTAATATCACAGCGATTAAATAATTTTGGAAAGTAGGTTGGACCAAACACTTTTTTTTGCGCCTCCTCAGATTTGGGTAGCAGCAGAGGCAAGTAAAATAATTTTTGATAAAAAAAATAAGACAATGAAAAGATTGAAATCTGGTTGCTTAAATATTAGTATGTGTTATTGGCATTCGCTAACAGGGTCTCATATGGCAGGGATAAAAGTTACAGACAAAAAAAATTAAGTGGGTGTTAGAGATGGGTGGGGACAAAGACTACTTAAACAACATCAGAAAAATTACAAACAAAAAATAACAAAAATATATATATATATATACGCACAAACACAAAAGATACGCAAACCAGAAAAAGCAGCAACAAAATCCCTACTCGACCCTGACAGGTATTTCCCAATATACTAACCAAATTCTTTACTAATCTCTCCAACGTTGCAAAAGTAGATGGTCAGTTGGTCACAATTTGTTCAAATTCTTCTGTTGTGTTGTCTAAATTACAACTCACCATGGCATAAGTCGTATACCAATCAGCTTATGACTTAACGTTTATTTAAAACTACCAGAGACATTTTCTAATATTCTGAGAAAAGGTTTAAAATTCCCAAGTTAGGATTAAATCCATAATCCTATCTGAAATGCATTGGGGACCTGGGATGTATTTTGTAATGTTTTAGCAAGCTTGTCTCGCTAAATCAATTATGACGGAATAGCAAGTTCGTTCTTCACTGGATGCCCCAAACTTTTGGCCTCCTGTCACATCTAAACTACGCTTAGAAAATAGTCATATATGAAGTGCATTTTTTTAAAAATGAGATGAAAAGTACTGGATGATGGTCGAAGATGAATGAAAGAAATATACAATTGGGGAACCAGGCCATAAAAAAATTATATAAAACGTATTCGTCTAAATAAATATTAAAAAAATTCAGTGATGAAATCTGGATGTTTTCAGGTTTGAAAATTTACAAATCAAAAGATCATTTAGTTTGTAATATAGCATTTGAGTGTCACTCTTAAAATGAATGTAAATCTTTTCCACACTGAAGTATTTGAAAAAGGCATCAATTCGAAAGCATGACTGAATTTAAACCTTAAGAGGCCCCTGCACTAATTTTTTTTTTTTGGGGGGGGATACTTCATTACGTATGTTCGCCCCAACCTCTGTCTATAACAAAAACACATACAAAATCTGTATGTATATAAAAAAGATGTATCAAACTCTAAATGGGGTTCCATCGAATTTAAAAAAAAAAACAAAAAACCAACAACCCCCAACTAGGAGGTACCCAAATACTATTGTTTAATTAGTTCAAAGGAGCCCCATTAAATCTGAAAATAAATTTCCTCTGTGCTTATATATTTTTTTTTTTTTTTAAATCAGGGGCTCAAGACTACATGTCCTCTGGGAGCCCCCTCTAATATTGAGGGCTCCTGGGCTGCAACCCATACCTGCCTACATGTAATTCCGGCACTAGTCGAAAGGCATTTC